AGATGATACCAAAGGCGATCAGAGCTTTGTGCATTAAGCCATCTTTGCACATTATATTTCCTCCCCTTCAAAATGTTTGTTAGATTCTTGCTATACCGTATGCGCGACCTATTTTTTTTTCAAAAAATATTATATCATTGATAATGCAATAGAAATTGGGTCTTTTTTCCGGCATTAATTCAATGGGAAGTAATTTGTGCGCTATTACTGCTTTTTCTTTCATTTTGTTTTAAGTATATCCTGTTTATAGTTTTGGATAAAAATTTAAAGTACATGAGCATATGGGCCAAGTCAAAACCGCCAATTCTGAACATTCGAGTGATTTTATGTAGCAGTAATGAAGTCGATGCAGCTTTAATACATAATTTTGCTTTCATTAAGCTTCATTTTCAGTAGGCATTGTGGTCGTAAATGTGTTGTGAGGGAAACAAGCTAATTGGTTAAAGAACTACAATTAATAAGGCTATACAGCAATTCTCTGTGACTTTTTTTTTATGAAAAATTCCAGGAGGACAAGAATTGCAATGAAACGATGAATTGATATTATTGAATAATTACCGCATAAAGGGTCGATTATGAATGCTTTTATCTCTATGAAAACTATTCAGACTCTATAGAGAATTTTATGGTTTAAAGATTTTTGATGTTGAAGATGTCTCAAACTACCTTGGTACTACCAAAAGTTCTGAGTATTCACTGAAGGATATCATATATGTACCACTCTTCTTAGCAGCTATGATTGTAGCTGTTAAAAAATTTCATTCCATATCCAGTGTTGTTCTGTCATCGAGAAAGACTAATGATAAAAATAATCAAATAACAAATTGCTGTTGTTAATGAAGTTTATATCTCATAAGTCACTTCAAAACATTCATATAACAATCAGCGCTTCTCGAGTTTCATGCTAACTACCTTAATGAGCTTTTTAATGACTTCAGTGATATTTTATCGAGCAATAAATTATCCTAATAACGCGGGATAGCAACTTTAGTAATATCTGAATAAATTATAATGAAGTATTTTATAGAATTATTGTTGAGATCATTGTTGCAATAATTATCTTCATCACAAGAGCTAGTTACATCATACCACGTGCTGTTGACATACTAGGTAAGATAGGCTGAGATATTTCAGCAGTTATCAGAATGAAACGAAAATATTTACTCTCGAACCAAATTTGAATTTTTATATACGAGACGTGTTGACTCATTTTGGCAATAATCAGTAATTAATTCGTGATTTGTTTCAAACTTCAGCGAACACATTGCATGACATACTTTTGTCGTTTTGATGTGCACAGCTCCAACTTTAGTTAACTCGTCGAAGTGATCAGAACAATAGCCACGTGAGTCGATATTCTTATATCAAACCGATAAACAGAGTGATACTTCAACTTGAATACCCTTTTGACAACTGAAGTACTACGTAATCTTCGGTAGTGTTTTCAACGAATGGATGGCACCTATCATTCTAATGGCAGTACCTACTTCAACAACACTAATAGTTCCAGCGTTCCTGTATGTGCAGGGCTGGGTCTCTCATGTCGTAAGTTTATAATTACAGCTTAACTTCATTACTCACGCATGTCTGGTCAATTGTTGAGCCGAACGTTCAAGAATTTAAAAATTTCTTATTTTGCTTTTAAGTTTGCTTGTGAATCCTTCAAGAAATCCGAACAAACTTTCTTAAGAAGTTTGCTTGATCTAATATAATTGATTTACATTTTAAAATTAAAGAATATCTACTGTCGTATTGTTGATCATCTTTATTTTTATTAAGTAAATTTGACGTTATACTACAACTTCATTCTGATATCATAAAATAATACGTAAAATAGTTTGTTTAGCGAGATTGTATACTGCAAAAGCGCCTGATATCATACATTGCAACGATTGGTAACTTCGTCGTTATTCCTTTCATCTTGTACTTAACACTTATAAAAGTGAAGGATGGATTTTTCAAATATTTCACACTGAATTTAATGGTTATTTGCATTGCATCGGCTATTGCTGCTTTCACAATCGATATACTTAATATAATTGTTCTTTTTGCTATTGTAGAAGGAAAGAAAGATTATCGGTAAGATTTGTTCAAGTTTAAGCAAACATTTTTGCCGGCAATACTTTCCATGAAATTGTTGTATGATGTTGCAGTAACAATAATCTGTTTGAACCAAAAATTTTTTGATGAAAGCGATGAGGATTCAATAAATATTATTGTAAATTGATGTAATCCAATAATTTTGGAGTGTCGAATGATATTTTAAGAAAAAAATCGCTGTATTTCTAGGTATCAAATTCGAGAATGGGCCCGGCTATGTAATGGCGCTGGAAGTATTTGGTTTCATGCCTTGATGCTCTACGCAGTTATAGTTTGTTATTTACCATATGTGAAACCTCTGTTTTATGCGAGTTTTATAAAAAAGTTAGTGCATTGTTTTATTCTTCAATCTTCGATATGTATTGATTAAAACTTGACGGTTTGACATATAATTATTGACACGATGTTTTAGGTATGGTTTCAAAATTACAAAGATACAATTTCAGAATTCAAATGAGATATGAAAGTCATTTATTTGGTCTCGTAGAAATGCTTTTTTTTTCAGTTCTCACTCACTTTCTCGACTTGAACGAAAGTACTTCCTACATCCATCCTTCTCATTCATTTCCTTTCTTTCCAGGAGCCAGAAACCTTATTACGCTGCGCTACATTTTTCGATATTTCTTTTAACTGGTTCAATAGTCTTGCTTTTGCAAGCATTCCGTTATCGCATACCTTATTTGCTAACACACATCATATTATTTATCGTATTGTTCTTTGCTACTTTGACTGGTAAAATTTTTTTAGATTTTGCAACTTTGAAAAATTCTATAATAGCAATCATCTTCTGCTAGAATCAGTCATTCTGATACTAGTCACGAATGTCAATGCAGAAGCATATCTATATGTGATTTTTCTTGTAACCCCAAGTAACCTGAGATAAACAGTTCCATTTCAATTATCAAGTATGATATATTTCTGCCAGAACATGGTGTGAACTAACTTGAAGACACTTGTGATGGAAAGATAACTTTTGTACTTATTGTTGTAGGGATCGATTAAAATAAGCAGATATAAGCCACTGAAGTCTAATTGTATCCGAGTTGCAAAAATGCAACAGAAGCGTTTATATTCATTTATTTTATACAGTTATTCTATTGAAGTTATTACTTTGCCTATATTTGGTAGGTTTTTATCATTTGTTCATACTAATACCATCTATGTGTTTTATCAATATTGTAATTCGATCACAAGCTCTACCAGAAGTTCTCTCAAATTTCTTCAAATTATCGAGCAGAAAGTAAGAACAAAATTGTTACCTGTATCCTGAAGCAGAAATCGCGAGCTCATAAAATTAATGCATACATTTTGACTTTATCAAGTTTATACCAAAAATCAAAATATTGATTTGATTAATATAACCATATTTCAGTTTACGCATGTGCATATACTATTTGTATATTTGCCGGTTGCGAACGTGACTTTGCCAAAAGTAATTTCAGACGCATACTCGATTTCATGATATACTTACTACCTTTACGAGGTTTGATTATTATTCGTCATTCCCAGTAAGAATTCCTCTTTTTCAGTGAAATCTTTCAGTGTCATATAATTTCAGATGCGGGCGATTATCGTTGTAGCCATTACGATCCTTGCACTTGAGCCATATCGCCATGCAACTTTTTCATTGTTTTGCAGAAGGAATTGGATTTCGGAGGTGATATCATTTCCAACTCAGAAAACAACATAAGATTGAATTAAATTGCATGGTAACGTCTATCACTAAAATAATAAAACTCATCGCATCCAACCTGTAGCTATTTTCCATTTCTGATAACAATTCATGTATAAACCATAATTAAATATATATTAAGGAATCAAAACAAAGAAACTTATCGAACATGATTATTCTTCTGTGAAGATAAGAATATGAAATAGAACCTAAGGTGGGAAGTTTTTTTTTGTATTCTTAGGAATATTTTGCACAGCGTGACACAGAATTTTGCGAGATTTGCTTTATTTTCACCTCAAACATAGATAATTAAATCATTGGACAGATGAACAATATTAGCGTAACATAATCATTAAAAATTATATAAAACAAGTTAACGTATAAAGCTAATTCCGAAAATGTTGCCACTTCGAGGACACCAACCTGAAGTATAAAAGAAAAGAAGAATGCCCTGCTTAGGAATTTATACATGCATCCTTCAAAGACTGGTTTTACGACTGCAAGAATTAGCCCTTTGTTAGCTCACGCTGATAGAGCACTTTGTTGGCGCGCATTAGTGTGTAGGGCTC